CCTTTAACCACACGCAACATCAGACCCCGACCGCTCCAGCCCTGGCAGACTGATCACACCAAAACCCTCAAACGACACAGTCGTGCCCTGGAGCGACTATGGTGCAAAACCAAATCCAACAAGACTTCACCCCCTACTAATCTGCCTTCCACACCTACACCTCCTCCCTCCACACAGCCAAACAAGCCTACTTCCTGATCCTCATCAAGGCCCTCTCCTCCAATCCTCGCCGACTCTTCTCCACCCTTCCCAACTCTCTCTACTCTCTCCCCCACCCCCACCTCCACCCAGCACCTCACTCACTGCCCTTGAGATTGCCAATCACTTCAAAAACAAGATTGACACAATTCGCAAGGACATCATCGCCGCAAACTCACAGACCCTCTCAAACCGTCCCCTCTCACACAGCTACCCCCTCATCCCCCCTCCCCTTCGACATAACCCGCAGGGACTTCGTCGCTGCTCAAACTCTCTCCAACCCCCCTTCACCCCCACTCAGCTACCCCCTCATCACCCCTCTCCCACAGCCCCACCACTGCTCTGACCTCCTCTTCCACCCCACCCTACATTCCTCATACTGAAGCTCCCCCAACACTCCACACCTTTGACCTTACTACCATCGAGGAAGTCTCCAAGATCCTCTCTGATGCCTGCCTCACCCCCCTGCCCCCCCTGGACCCTATCCCCTCACAACTCCTACGACCTTCCTCCTCCTCCTCCTACCTCCCCCACCCACATCTTCAATCTCTCCCTCTCCTCCGGCACTTTCCCCTCCCCTCTGAAACTCGCACACATCACCCCCATACTTAAAAAGCCCTCCCTGGACCCCAATGACCCAAACAACCTCAGACCCATCTCCCTGCTCCCATTTACATCTAAACTCCTCGAGCGCCTAGTCTACACCCCCTGCCTATGCTCTCCCCTCAACGACAACAACCTCCTCGATCCCCCTACCCGGCTTCCGTCCCCTACACTCCACCGAAACCTCCCTACACTCCACCGAAACTGCCTTACTCAAACTCTCCAATGACCTGCTAACCGCCAAAGCTAATGGCCACTATTCAGTGCTCCTACTCCTTGGACCTCTCTGTGGCCTTCGACACAGTCGACCACCCCCCCTCCTCCTCAAAAAACTACACTCCCTCTTCGGCCTCAGAGATTCTTCTCTCTCCTGGCTCTCATCCTACCTGTCACAACGCTCCTTCAGCGTTACCTATAATGCTACCACCTCCCCCTCACTCCCCTCTCTGTTGGGGTCCCTCAAGGCTCTGTCCTTGGGCCCCTTCTCTTCTCCATCTACACCTCCTCCCTTGGCCAACTCATACACTCTCACGGCTTCAACTACCACCTCTATGCCGACGACACACAAATCTATCTCTCAACCCCCCACCTCACCCCCTCGTCTCAGCCCGAATCACACACCTACTGAGCGACATATCAGACTGGATGTCGCTCCACTTCCTTAAATTGAACCTCTCCAAAACCGAGTTTCTTGTCTTACCCCCCAGCCCGGACACCCACCCCACATTGATTTCTCCATCACATCCAACAACGCTACCATCAAACCTGCCCTGCAGGCCAGAGTACTTGGCGTCATTCTGGACTCCAACCTATCCTTCCAGCCCCAAGTCCAATCTTTAACAAACTTCGTGCCGACTCCACCTCCGCAACATGCAGACTCCGCCTTTGCAACATGCAGACTCCACCTCCACAACATCGCCAAAATCCGCACGTTCCTAACCCCAGAAACCACTAAACAGCTCATCCACTCCCTCCTCACTGGCCTGCCTCGCCGCTGGCTATCCCCGCTTCAGTCCATCCTGAATACGGCTGCCAGACTCATTCACCTTTCCAACCGCTCTGTCTCCGCCACCCCCCTCTACCAATCCCTCCACTGGCCTCCACTCAGTGTCCTCCACCCCCCTCTGCCAATCCCTCCACTGGCCTCCACTCAGTGTCCTCCACCCCCCTCTGCCAATCCCTCCACTGGCTTCCGATTGTGCAACGGATCAAATTCAAAATCCTAACACTGACGTACAAAGCTGTCCACCATACTGCCCCGAACTACATCACTGACCTAATATCCAAGTACCGCCCAACACGCACACTCTCGCTCCTCACAAGACCTCCTCTCTAGTTCCCTGGTCTCCTCCCTCCCATGCCCGCCTCCAGGACTTCTCCAGGGTGTCACCCATCCTCTGGAACTCCCTGCCCCAACCCATCAGATTATCACCTACTCTCCTCTACTTTAGGCGCACCCGGAAAACCCATCTCTTCAGGGAAGCCTACCCCACCCCCTGCTAACTTGCCGACCTCCTCCACTCTTCCTACCACTCCATCCCCCACAGCTATCTCCTCCTGTGCCACCATCCCCTCCCTCCTAGATTGTAAGCTCGAAAGAGCAGGGCCCTCGATCCCCTCATGTATCGCATTGTATTGTATTGTTCTGTCACATGTTCTGTCCCCCTCTGTAATGTACAGCGCTGAGCCAACTATTGGCGCTTTATAAATACTGTATAATAATAATAATTGATACATTGTACAGGCAGGGATCTATACTGATACATTGTACAGGCAGGGATCTATACTGATACATGTACAAGAAGGGATATATACTGATACATTGTACAGCAGGGATCTATATTGATACATTGTACAGGCAGGGATCTATACTGATACATTGTACAGGCAGGGATCTATACTGATACATTGTACAGGCAGGGATCTATACTGATACATTGTACAGGCAGGGATCTCCTGATACATTGTAATACATTGTACAGGCAGGGATCTATATTGATACATTGTACATGCAGGGATCTATACTGATACATTGTACAGGCAGGGATCTATACTGATACATTGTACAGGCAGGGATCTATACTGATACATTGTGATACATTGTACAGGCAGGGATCTATACTGATACATTGTACAGGCAGGGATCTATACTGATACATTGTACATGCAGGGATCTATATTGATACATTGTACAGGCAGGGATCTATACTGATACATTGTACAGGCAGGGATATATACTGATACATTGGCATGCAGGGATCTATATTGATACATTGTACAGGCAGGGATCTATACTGATACATTGTACAGGCAGGGATCTATATTGATACATTGTACATGGCAGGGATCTATACTGATACATTGTACAGGCAGGGATCTATACTGATACATTGTACAGGCAGGGATCTATACTGATACATTGTACAAGAAGGGATATATACTGATACATTGTACAAGAAGGGATATTACTGATACATTGTACAGGCAGGGATCTATTGATACATTGTACAGGCAGGGATCTATATTGATACATTGTACAGGCAGGGATCTATACTGATACATTGTACAGGCAGGGATCTATACTGATACATTGTACAGGCAGGGATCTATATTGATACATTGTACAGGCAGGGATATATATTGATACATTGTACAGGCAGGGATCTATACTGATACATTGTACAGGCAGGGATATATACTGATACATTGTACAGGCAGGGATCTATACTGATACATTGTACAGGCAGGGATCTATATTGATACATTGTACAGGCAGGGATATATACTGATACATTGTACAGGCAGGGATATATACTGATACATTGTACAGGCAGGGATCTATATTGATACATTGTACAGGCAGGGATCTATACTGATACATTGTACAGGCAGGGATATATACTGATACATTGTACAGGCAGGGATATATACTGATACATTGTACAGGCAGGGATCTATATTGATACATTGTACAGGCAGGGATCTATATTGATACATTGTACAGGCAGGGATCTATATTGATACATTGTACAGGCAGGGATCTATATTGATACATTGTACAGACAGTGTGGGGGTCTCACCTGGGCCTCTCCAGCTCTTCCAGCCCTTTCCAAAGAACTCGAGCCCGGAAGTGAGTTCAGCCAGGAAGTCTCACACTGAGACTGCTGGGGGATTCTGGGAAGTGTAGTCCCGACAGAGGCAAAGTCTACAGTACTGAATGAAGGAAGGAACTACAAATGTCTGATTGGCCTTCAGTGAGAAACAAATCTCAGACAACAGCCAATAGGAGTGAAGAGAGCTGTACGAATAGTTCCTCTGTTTCTGGTGATCAGCTTCCTGGGTCATATGAAGAGAGGAGGAGGGCTGGGGGGCCAGGCTATGAGATTCCCAGCTCCCTGAGACCCTGGAATCAAGTTCAATGAACTTACATAGATCAATATTTAGACAGAAAGGATAAAAAAAAAAAAAACAAAAAAAAACACACACAGACAAAAAAAACACACAAAAATGAAACACATACAATTAAAAAATAAACACACACAAAAAACAAAAAAACCCAAAAAAAAACAAACAAAAAATAACCACAAAATGTAAACATCAAAAACATACAAAATATAAACACACAAAAAATAAACACACAAAATGTAAACACACAACCCCCCCCCCCCCACCACCCCCCAACACACACACTATAAAAACAAACAAAATATAAACATATAACATGAAACAAAAAATAAACACATAAAAACAAACAGAAAAAAACCCACTAAAAATAAACACAAAATGTAAACATCAAAAACATACAAAGTATAAAACACACAAAAAATAAAACACAAAACATAAAGAAAAATTAAACACACAAAATGTAAATGAACAAACTATAAACACAAAAAAATACAAAAAAATAAACTAACAAAATATAAACAAAACTAAAAATAAACACATTAAAAAAGGTCCCTCTGCCACTGTACTGGCAAGCGATTAATGACCAGTGGGGGAGGGGACAACTCAATATAATGACCAGTGGGGGAGGGGACAACTCAATATTAATGGCCATGGGGGAGGGGACAACTCAATATAAATTGCCATAGGGGAGGGCAAAACAGAATATTAATGGAAATGGTTTTGGAATGGGATGTCCAACAGGTTTTTATACTGTAGTCGTGACAGTCAACAAACGTTTGGCCATATATTGAGGATCTACACTCTGTTGTTGGGCTCATCTGAAGGCCACACCAAGTTTGGAGGTCTTTAGCTATTGACTCTGCAGACAGTTGGTGACTTCTGCGCACTGTGCGCTTCAGCATGCGCTGACCCCGCCTGTCATGTGACGTGGCCTACCACTTGGTGGCTGAGTGGCTGTTGTTCCCAGTGGCTTCCACTTTGTTATAATCCCACTAACAGTTGAGCGTGGAATATTTAGTAGCCAGGAAATGTCACGGATGGACTTATTGCCCAGGTGGCCACCTATCACGGGACCACGCTTGGAGTCACTGAGCTCCTGAGAGCAACCCATTCTTTCACCAATGTTTGTAGGAGAAGACTTCATGCATAGGAGATGGATTGTATACACCTGTGTCCATGGAGGGGATTGGGAACACCTGAATCACATGATATGGAGGGGATTGGAACACCCGAATCACATGATATGGAGGGGATTGGAACACCTGAATCACATGATATGGAGGGGATTGAAACACCGGAATCACATGATATGGAGGGGATTGGAGCACCTGAATCACATGATATGGAGGGGATTGGAACACCTGAATCACATGATATGGAGGGGATTGGAGCACCTGAATCACATGATATGGAGGGGATTGGAGCACCTGAATCCCATGATATGGAGGGGATTGGAACACCTGAATCACATGATATGGAGGGGATTGGAGCACCTGAATCACATGATATGTAGGGGATTGGAACACCTGAATCACATGATATGGAGTGGATTGGAACACCCGAATCACTTGATATGGAGGGGATTGGAACACCCGAATCACATGATATGTAGGGGATTGGAACACCTGAATCACATGATATGGAGTGGATTGGAACACCCGAATCACTTGATATGGAGGGGATTGGAACACCGGAATCACATGATAAGGAGGGGATTGGAGCACCTGAATCACATGATATGGAGGGGATTGGAACACCTGAATCACATGATATGGAGGGGATTGAAGCACCTGAATCACATGATATGGAGGGGATTGGAGCACCTGAATCACATGATATGGAGGGGATTGAAGCACCTGAATCACATGATATGGAGGGGATTGAAGCACCTGAATCACATGATATGGAGGGGATTGAACACCTGAATCACATGATATGAAGGGGATTGAAGCACCTGAATCACATGATATGGAGGGGATTGAAGCACCTGAATCACATGATATGGAGGGGATTGAAGCACCTGAATCACATGATATGGAGGGGATTGAAGCACCTGAATCACATGATATGGAGGGGATTGGAGCACCTGAATCACATGATATGGAGGGGGGAGCACCTGAATCACATGATTAGGAGGGGGGACACCTGAATCACATGATTGGGAGGGGGGACACCTGAATCACATGATTGGGAGGGGGGACACCTGAATCACATGATTGGGAGGGGGGACACCTGAATCACATGATTGGGAGGGTGGGGCCAATACTTTGTATGTTTCCTGATGGTGTCATCATGCGTGTTCATGTATTGGTTGGGGTTTGTCTCGTCCGTTTCCTCTGGGGACGACTAGCAGGACGCACAGCTCGGCTCACGCTGCAAAACACAGAAGTGCACCGACCACAACATGCTGGAGGAACGAACAAAACCAGACAAAGCCGGAAACCTTTATCTGCCAGCGACGCCCACAGCGTACAGAGGCGACCGAACAGCAGATTGTTCACTAGAAAGCTGAATGTAGAGACAAAATATTTCAGGACTTTTGAAGCCATAAAGAGAAAAAGTTTTCTTTCCCTTTTTATTTTTTTCAGGAATAGATGGACATTTGTGGAAAAATGTAAAAAAAAAGTCATTGTGGAGCAGTTTTACAACTTAACCCCTCACCTACAGGCACTGCCGCCCCCTCCCCCCCCCCTTCCTGTCCAGGCCAATTTTCAGCTTTCAGCACGGTCACAGTTTGAATGACAATTGCGCGGTCATGCGACACTGGACCCATACATCATTTTTATCATGTTTCTGAGACAGATAGAGCTTTCTTTTGGTGGTATTTTTTGCTAAACAAACTAAAAAAGTCAGAACATTTTGAAATAAAACTTTTTCCTTAGTTTCTGTAATAAAATTTTGTAAATAAGTAATTTTTCTCCTTCACTGATGTGCGCTAATGAAGCTGCCATGATAGGCACTGATGGGCATTGATGAGGAGGCACTGGTGGGCATTGCTGGGCATCACTGATGGGCACTGAAAGGCAGCACTCATATATGGCACTGATAGGCAGCACTGACTGGCATTAATAGGCGGCACTGATTGTAACTTCTAGACGACACTGATGGGCACTGATAGGCGGCACTGATTGGCACTGATAGGGATCACTGACTGGCACTAATAGGCGAACTGACTGGAACTGCTAGGTGGCACTGATGGGCACTAATAGGCGGCACACTGATGGGCATTGATGAGGAGGCACTGGTGGGCATTGCTGGGCATCACTGATGGGCACTGAAAGGCAGCACTCATATATGACACTGATAGGCAGCACTGACTGGCATTAATAGGCGGCACTGATTGTAACTTCTAGACGACACTGATGGGCACTGATAGGGATTGGCACTGATAGGGATCACTGACTGGCACTAATAGGCGGAACTGACTGGAACTGCTAGGTGGCACTGATGGGCACTAATAGGCGGCACTGATGGGCATTGATGAGGAGGCACTGGTGGGCATTGCTGGGCATCACTGATGGGCACTGAAAGGCAGCACTCATATATGACACTGATAGGCAGCACTGACTGGCATTAATAGCGGCACTGATTTTAACTTCTAGGCGGCACTGATAGGCACTGATAGGTGGCAATGACTGGCACTGATAGGCAGCACTGACTGGAACTGCTAGGCAGCACTGATGGGCACTGATACGCAGCACTGACTGGCACTTATAGGCAACAGTGACTGGCACTGATAAGCAGCACTGACTGACACTAATAGTTGGCACTGAAAGGCAGATCTGATGGGCACTGATATGTGGCATTGATGGGCACTGACAGGTGGCACTGATGGGGCTACACTGATCATCTGGATACTGATGATCAGTGTACATGTCCCCTCTGAGGAATGCCAGTTACCGGCTCTCTTCTCCTCCTGCACTGTCGGCAGGAGGAGAGGACTGCTGATAACCGGCATTTCCTATTACATGCGATCAGCTGTGATTGGACACATCTGATCACATGATAGCGCATGGCACCAGTTGTCTTTTTTTTAGATGTCTATAAGGATGTCTAAGAGGCATTCTTCCCATGACAAACATCGTAGAGGGCCTTCTTCCCGACAAATTATTTTAGAAGGGGGGTTCCCTGAGACATTATTGTAAGGGTTCCCCTGGTTTAAAAAAAAGGTTGAGAATGGCAGCAAAGGAGTTTCACTAGACTCCCCATTGGTCTAATTGCTGCAATCACCTACCTGGTACAGAGAAAACACATGACGCTCCTTTATTAATAGAAGTTGCTTCATGAGAAGTCTGAGCATCCATCCAGGCATCCATCCAGGCATCCATCCAGGCATGGTACAGTCATGGGCAAAAATCTTGCCTCCCCCCCCCCCCCCGTATTTCTGTCAGTCACTTCACCCTGAAAATTGTAATTACAAATGTTTCATCATTCTCGTGTTTATTTCTTTTGTTTGTATCGGTGACACAAAAAAGTGGAGAAACAAAAAGCCAAATCTGACCCATTCCACGCAAAACCCCAAAAATGGACTGGACAGCATTATTGGCGCCTTCCATGTAATATTTGGTAGCATACCCCTTGGAAAAAATACCTGAAATTGATGGTTTCCTGTAACCATCAATTAGTTTCTTTCACCTCTCTACTGGAATTTTGGATCGCTCTTCTTTCACCAACTGCTCCGGGTCTCTCAGATTGGAAGGGTTCCTTTTCCCAACTGCTCCAGGTCTCTCAGATTGGATGGGTTCCTTTCCCCAACTGCTCCAGGTCTCTCAGATTGGACGGGTTCCTTTTCCCAACTGCTCCAGGTCTCTCAGATTGGAAGGGTTCCTTTTCCCAACTGCTTCAGGTCTCTCAGATTGGACGGTTCCTTTCCCCAACTGCTCCAGGTCTCTCAGATTGGACGGGTTCCTTTTCCCCAACTGCTCCAGGTCTCTCAGATTGGAAGGGTTCCTTTCCCCAACTGCTCCGGTCTCTCAGATTGGAAGGGTTCCTTTCCCCAACTGCTCCAGGTCTCTCAGATTGGACGGGTTCCTTTCCCAACTGCTCCAGGTCTCTCAGATTGGATGGGTTCCTTTCCCAACTGTCCCTTTCCCCAACTCCAGGTCTCTCAGATTGGAAGGGATCCTTTTCCCAACTGCTTCAGGTCTCTCAGATTGGAAGGGTTCCTTTCCCCAACTGCTCCGGGTCTCTCAATTGGAAGGGTTCCTTTCCCCAACTGCTCAAGGTCTCTCAGATTGGACGGGTTCCTTTTCCCAACTGCTCCAGGATTGAGATTGGACTCCCCAACTGCTGGTCTCAGTTCAGTCCTCTCCAGCACTTTGGTCCTGAAAGGGTTCCTTTCCCCAACTGCTCTGGTCTCTCAGATTGGAAGGGTTTTCCTTTCCCCAACTGTCCAGCGTCTCTCAGATTGGGTTCCTTTCCCCAACTGCTCCAGGTACAGATTGGAAGGGTTCCCCCCCAACTGCTGCTCTCAGATTGGAAGGGTTCCTTTCCCCAACTACTCACTCTCAGATTGGAAGGTTCCTTTTCCCAACTGCTGTTCTGAGATCTCTCCACAGGAGCTCTATGGGATTGAGATCTGGACTCATTGCTGGTCAGTTCAGTCCTCTCCAGCACTTTGCCTGAAACCATTTCTGGGGGTTTTTTTTGACGTGCGCTTTGGGTCATTGTTCTGCTGTACGACCCATGCACTGACGGAGACCAAACATTTCTCACAATCAGGCCTTACATTGCACCCCAAAATTCAGCCTCAGTTTCATAATGCGATGCACACGGTCAAGACATCCAGTGCCTGAATCAGCACAGCAACCCCACTCAGTGACCCCCCCCCACCATGTGTGACTGGAGGGACTAAATTATTTTCTTTAAAGGCCTCATTGCTTTTTCTGAAAGCAGTAGAATAATGGGAAGTATATGCAATACCTGGCCAATGCCACTGGAATTTGGAAATCACTGAAGTAGACACCACTACTACACCAATCTCCACTTGCTTCTGGTCCCGTGACAAAGTGGTTGACCTGATGCATCGTGAATGGCTTCTCAGCATGGGCACCATTCAGAGAATACTTTGCATTTGGTGAAGGAATGAAAAGCATCCTCTGATTGGACGAGGTGGAGAGCTTGTTTTTGCTGCCTTCCATGATGTTTGTCATGGGGAAGGGATGCCTCTTACTGTGGTGGCTACAATGTTACCTTCATAGACATCTACATTTGGTGTTATGTTGTTGGCTTTACCAAGTGGTGTTGGCCCTGGAACTATGCAGTCACCGTTACATGGGAGCCTTACATTCATTCAGAAAATACAAAGCGTTCTCTGAATGGTGCCCTGCTGAGTGGCCAACCACCAGTATTCACAATGCGTCAGGTCAACCTCTTGGCAGGGGAACCAGAAGCAAATGCAGATCTCTGAAGTAGCTATGTAGTAGCGGTGTCTACAGTGAATTCCGGCTTCCCAAGTCATTGGCCATGTATGGTCCTTACAAAGATTTCCAAGGACTTGACTGCCTTGGTCTGGAGCTGAATTAACCAC